GCAAGAAAAAAGGCAAAAATCGAAATCTTACTAAACACAACTCCACGAAGCTACATCTTACGTGTTTCCATTGGTTAAAAAGTCATAAAATCGATAACAATCAAAAAAAGGCATTCTTACACTTCACATCTCAGCGTCATCATCAATTGTAATAACTAAGACTGAATACGTAAAAAAATTTTGCAACTATTTTAGACAGCATAATGTCAACGCCGCCATCGACGGATAACATCACCCTGGATATCCAGCTACCCTGACGCAAATATAACTTACTGTGGCTTGTTCCAAACTCGCAAAAAATGTTTGTCCGTATAGGTACAATTTTACGGCTTTTTATTATCACGGGGGGATTAAACACTTTTGGCATAATAACAGCATATTCATCCATGGTATTATTTCATTAATTATTATTATTATTATTATTATTATTATTAACACTTCAACCATACATTTAAAAATTCAAACAATTTAATTCAATACGGCGACCAAAAAATATTAAAGATTTGAAGAAGTGCACATAAAAGTATACCTTAGAAGATATAATCTCAGAAACAGATTTCATTTGAAAAGAAATCTACTCTTTAATGTAGTTGGAGTGACGAAAAAAAAATTGACACACTTTGCAACTTTCAAATTCTAGAATGTTTGAATGGGAAATCGAATTTTTTCTTACTATTAACCAAAAATTTTCTTTTTTCGAGACAAACCAATAGAGAATATAATACTTTGGTAACAAATCTTGCTTCAATTAAGTTATCAATTATAACGATACCATAAAAAAAGAAAATCTACTCATGTTTAATTGTCTATCAGACATTAATTGACACGTTAAATTTTTAAGTACACATTGCAAAATAGTGTATTTAACTCATGTAGCTTGTAAGAAAGAGATATTAAAAATGGTACACTTTTCATGTTCAACTGGCTAAGTTTTCTGAAATGAACTCGCACGCTGGATCATCTTACATAACTAATGCTTTATAAATCGTTGGCTGCTCTACTCGATCAAAAATAAAACACAAAATGGGAGCAAGGTTTTAGAGAAAAATTTTGAAAATGTTATAGGGCTTTACTGTAAATTACTGCCCCCCAAATAAAAGATTCGCTTAAATTCGAGGGGGTGTATGGCCACGACGACCGATTGGTGCCTTCCGTTGATAGACAACGGACGGGCGTATGATTTGCGATACCCTCTATTTTTAGTCCAGAAATGGGTTCTGGCCCTACAGAACGTTACATTATGATTATCAGAACGATACGCCAGAAAGTATTTTCTACCATATAGGAGCAAAGCCAGAACGGCACAAATATTTGTTTTCCAGATTTACCACTCTCGCGCCGCTCTTTTGCTGCCAGCATTACATAACATCTCTTACTAAGCACATACGAAGATATTAAATTCAAAAAACGAACTTTCTCATTAAAGACTTCCAAAAACGAAAAAAAAAAAAAAAAAAATATTTCTGGTTCACATACTCGGCTCTTTTTTCACAATCGCTTACCTAATACATCTTATACAAGTTCTACATCACATATCGGCCCGCCCAAATGTGGCGATACAGAGCACTATTTTCTATACTAAAACTAATTCTGTATTTTTGTAAACACATTATAATAATAAAATTTATCTTTTAAAACTACTTTCACTGTCTTGACCATAAGTGGTTCACAAAATAAATACTCTATTGTTTAGTTCGTCGTGAACCACAATGTGGTTCAGACGTTTCCAACTATATGGCAAAACCTGTGTACATGGAACGTGCCTGGAAGTCCCCCCACTGAATTTTTGGTTTGGACTTTGCTAGTTTTTTCCGGTCATATAATTTTAAAATGCATCGTGAACGCATGACAAATACTCTTTTTATTTATCGACATATTCGCAATATAATTTATGGTGGAAGCCGTTGGATCGAGATATAATAAGGTTTTAATGGGGGCAGGGGAATATGTTATACTTAAGCTGAATAGATATGAATATTTCACCAACACACGGCCCAAAATTTTTTGGGGGCGGGCCCAAGCACGAAATAAAAAAAGGTTCTATAACTTTCGACCAATGTAAAATTGGTTATGATTTTCCACATGACTCTACTGCTTCGCACAAGGTTTTTATTTTCATTACTTATATTACTCACAAGAAAACAATCTAATACGATTGTTTACAAAAAACGTAATGCACTTAAATGCGGTGATGTTACGTAAGGCTAACCATTGTATAAACTATTTTTTAAATTGTATGGAATAGAAAAACAGAAATTCAACGCATCTCCTTCGAAATTAACAGCCACGCCATCATAGCTTCAGATAAACCTCAAACGTATTATAAATTTGTCAAAGTAAGAAGTTCTCCGCAAGGATTTCTGTACGTCCGCCCGCCCCTCCAAGCAAGTTTTGCCACATGCTCGCCATATAACGCGTAGTTAGAGTCTGAACATTTTTTACTTGACAAAAAGACCAACAACTTGTCGAAAGCAAGTAATGCTAATGATTACCTCTCCTCAACCGGTTGTATCTCCGCGAAGTGTATATATATTAATTAATAATTAATTAAGAATTTGGCGGTAAATTTGCTTTCAGGAATCAACGTTTAAGAATGTATCGAAACTTGCGAAAAAAGTTAAAAGCGAATTAATTCGACAAGTTAAGGGAGACGATTCACACTCAACACGAGGGGAAAAACTTAGACAGAAATTAAGCCAGATTATTTCCAGCATAAATATACTTACAACAATAATACATCCATGGCAAATAATATTTTCTTATCCTTATTTTATTTATCTCTTTAACTGAGATAAGCTATCATAACATTTTTTCTCCTCTGTCTCCAAATGTGTTTTTCCTCTATGAGAATATCAAAAGAGGATAAACATTTAATGATATATTTTTCACACCAAAACGCCAATTCGACAAGAAAGAGATATTCTCTCTACTCTCTTACTCGACTGACATACGCGACTATTAACGACTCTTTTAGATTTGGAAGCTCTCAAGTACACTTATTGAATGATGGTCGATTCATAGTTAAGCCTCAAGAGCAACGTTTCGACCAGAGAATGTCTGCGCATAAAACAATAAATGTATTGATCAGGCATCATATAAACCAAAATATTTATTCTGGAGACTTTCGTTTTTATTCCTGTAATGATACAAGTTTACACGCGTTCGTTTCAATAACACGATCCTTTTTTCCATCGGGTCACGGATCTCGATGTCAACAGCACCAGTAAACGAGCATTTCGACCAAGAACATTAATCGACTCCTCGAGATTAAAGTTTGGAAATAAATCACATGAATGAAACAAGTTCATTACTAAAGTTACATGGTGAAAAGATAGAATCGGTGACGAAGTTCTGTAAAGCGAATTCATTCACGAACCATTTTACAATCACCTTATTAATATTTATTTACTCGTATCTTACGAATATGCATAATTTCTCTTCGCGTCCAATGAAAGTGGAACTGTAATGGGAATATTGAAATAAAATGTTAAGATTATTAACGTATTATCAGGTATACTGCTCAGAAAGCGGCAATAAATTATTAGAGTACGGTTTCCCTAGATTTCTAGACATATTCACAAAAACAATAAAGAATGTTTGCTAGCCAACATTAGGCAGTATCTATAATATTAAATATATGTGTAAATGCATTGGATTAATGTCGGCCAGTAAAAGTATTTGCGTTCTGTTAGTGTCTACAAAACGAATTAGTCTAGAAGCCCCTTTAATGTAAAAAATATGTGTTGAAAACTGAAACCCTCTTCAAATACGAAATCTTGTAGCCGTTTTAATAAATTATTTCAACATTAATAACAAATAA